TCGCTATCAGTAATTGGTTGGTAGTCTGGTTTATCTTACTACGATACGTCCTGATATAGCATATGCAGTTCACATTGTTAGTTAGTTTATGACTGCTCCTCGCTCCACTCATTATGCAGCAGTACTTCGCATTATTCGCTATTTAAGGGAACATTATTTCATGGACTCCATTTTTCTGCCAACTCCTCCCCTGTGCTTCACGCTTACTTTGATGCTGATTGGTCCGGTGATCCTTCTGATCGTAGATCTACCACCGGTTACAGTCTTTTCCTTGGTAATTCTCTTATCTCTTGGCGGAGTAAGAAACAAGCTATTCCATCTCACTCTAGTACTGAAGCTGAGTATAAAGCTCTCGAGGATACCACATCAGAACTTCTTTTATTGCGGTGGCTTCTTGAAGATATGGGCATTCCTCAACCTTCTTCTACTGATTTATATTGTGATAATCAAAGTGCTATGCAGATTACTCATAATGATGTCTTTCATGAACGCACTAAACACATTGAGGTTGATTGTTACTTTATTCGCCATCATGTTGCACAAGGAACTGTTTATTTGGTTTTCATTGGCTTCGCTGATCAACCAGCAAATTTCTTTACCAAGACTCATTTTCCTTGACGCTTTTGTACTTTTCTTTCCAAACTCAAATTGGTTTCATTACAACCACCTTGAGTTTGAGGGGATGTTAAGATGTGAACATAATTATATTTAAAATTATTGTAAATATTTTATATTTTAAAATATTATCTTTGTATACTTTATACCTTAGAATATTCTCTTTGTAAACACCTATATATATAGGTCATTGTACATACACTATAATTCAAGAAAGCAATAAACCTTTCTTAAGATATTTCTCCTTCTTTTCGGTTTCTAACAACAGCTGCCTCTCTATTGTTCAGGATGCCTTTATACACCATCCCGAATCCTCCTTTCCCCAACTTGTTGGCAACATTGCAGTCTCCGGTGGCAGCTTTGAGTTCCTTCAATCGGAACTTCTGCGGTGCAGTTGATGAACTCTGAAGTTCTTGTTAAATCTCCAATTCGTCTTCTTCCATTTGATTCTTTTTGTTTGTCCTTTTCCAGTAAAAGAAATAGAAACACTTTGAAAACAGAATTATCAAAACAAAGAACGGGAATCAAAATCCAAAGCCAAAGAAAGGGATTGAATTTTTAACCCTTATCTCAAAACTGTTGAAATCCCAGGATTTGACAGCTTCCAATCCTGCATTCTTCCGGTTAAATCCGGAGCCCCACCAAAACATCGGCCGGATGTTGTGTGGAGAGATCAAGAGGGACATTCAACACTGGATTGTAGAATTTCCCTTCCCCTGTTCCGGTTGAGAACACAAAAACAGCAACTTTGTCAGATTTTGCATCATGCTGAATGGTTGCAGTGATATCTTGGCCGGCGGAAAGATTAACGCCATGACCAATTAAGGGTTCTTGCATTCTTGAGTAGATGCCCTTGATATCAACCCCAACATGATTGTCGTCAATATCTTTGGAATCACTTTTTTGGGGTCGAATTCTATGACCACAATGTTTAGTAGATCCACTGTGGTAGAATTCACAATTCCGAGCCATTGGCCGCCGCTGTTGTTGGGGAGAGAGCTGTCCTCTGTTAATACGAAAGCTAGCTCTCACCAGCGGGCAAGGTCAACGGATTTAAGTTGAACACGAATGTGGAATTGAACGAGGACTTTGAGCCTCTTAGCCCGTCCCATAGTTTCAACCTTTGATTGTATAGGACCCTCCCTGACCTCTGCTGGATTGAAATTCCTCCTCCGACCACATTAGGAGTTACTTGAACGGCATTGTTGAAGATGTATGAGAAATTGCTAAAAATAAAGTCACTGGCATTTTCATTGCTAAATTAAGGGTAAGAAAAATTCAAGCACTCTACATGAACAATGTTGATGAAGATGAGTATGATTAGACGCTTGGAAACTCGAGGTAAGAACATGAATCCGAGCATATGAAGCTTCAAGATTGTTCCCACTTTAATCTAGATTTCTGGGTTCAAGGATAGATGAATGAAGAAATGCAGGGTCAAATCGTGGTCAGATCAGAATAGAATGGAAGTCAGATAGTTTTATTAGTATGCAGTTGTAAAGACTGGCTGGAATTGGATAAGCAGGCATGTGAATGAATGGGC